AACGCACTTATTCCAACAATAACAACATGCAGGTCATCGTGGAGCTATGTGGGAGTGTTTCAGTCAGTTGTATGAGATAAAGTGCACTCGAGGGGCTAGATCTGCGCATACCCTAGGTATCCGTTATGATGAGCAATATGGGTGTGATACTCGCCATGATAGCAAAAGGTTGCAGGTTCGAATCCCGCCAGACACCCTTTTTTCAGACGTTTTTGTTAAAGGGCTATACTTGATACGACTATAACATCTTCATATTCGAGCACTGTTAGTATTATTTATCTATTTGTTTACAATGTGTTTACTGCTGTCTCTTATTATTATTATTATTATTCTTATTATTATTATTCTTATTATTATTATTCTTATTATTATTATTATTATTATTATTATTCTTATTATTATTATTATTATTATTATTATTATTATTATTATTAGTATACATACTGCAAAACCTCGAATTGAAGCCCTGGGCTTCTTTTTTTGCGAACTTCCGATGGATGGGCTTCTTTTCGAGATAGGCTTCTTTTCGAGACTACAGTACTTTAGGCTTTAGCAAAGCAAAGAGGGGAGCTTTTTCTTTTCAAAATAAATGCTGTAAATTTTGTGAAGCCACTGTAACATCAATCTGTATCATGGAGTGTATTTAACTGCCATTAAATGACTTAAACTACTGTATAAACCAAGCTTGTATTTTTTCCCCTGAAATTCATGTACAGTGTATGTACTGTATTATCTCGAAATGAAGCCTAAAAAGGGCTTCAATTCGAGGTTTTACGGTATTTCATTAATGTGATTTGCCTGCTGATCGTTTGTGAAACATGCAGCCCGATATTGGATGTGTTTGGAATAATAACCTTTTAGACATATTTTTATAGCACTTTTCACAATAAATATCTTCTCAAGAAAAAATATACATGCCTAGGCCTTATTTACAAATAACCCAGGAAATACCGCCGTAACCTATTAACAAATGATGCTTTAGAAACTATGTACACATTTCATTCAAAATGTTGGTACAGTTGACAACATACTGTGACACACTTCTGAAAGTAAAATATGCATTTATTGAATCGAGGTAAAACGAAATATTACGTCTATCATCCTGAAAACACTCAAAACTAGAGAAGTCACTCCATAGGGCATACCTCCGTCATTTGCCCGCCGGACAATATGCAGACCGTGTATGATAGGGATTCCATTATTTTCTTTTATGAATGAAGGTAAAAAATCATACTTCCGTGAGCTTGACCTTGTCCTTGTCCTTGACCGTTCATATCCAAAATTTAATCATCTCTTTCTTACATCACATGTACCATCCCATTACATTTTATGATGATCCATTCCTTAGTTTTTAGGTAATTTTGCTAATAGACAGACAGCGGCCAATACATCCTCCTTGGCGGAGGTAATAATGTGTTTACTTTCCAATAGTTAAAGCATTTTTTCTTAGTAGGTGTTATGTGAGCTACCGAATGTCTACAAACTTGATTCAGTTCAAAAGTCTTAAAACTAGGTTTATGATAGCTGTATAGCATGCGTTTGCTCCACAGGCAATATGAGCTGTTGGTTTTTAACATTTTCGCGCTTTTTTATCACTTTCTTTATAGAATATTACATTTCCCAGTTAGGCTGTTAACTTGATTACTCAGGGCAAGTGCTTCGTTTAAGAAATATGTTAAGTACGAAATATGGGTATTATATAATATTATACTTCCAGATGCAATTATGAGACTGGAACCCTATAACCATGAAATGTAGATGTAATCATTTCAAAAGGTTAAGTACTGCAATTTTACAATTATTATAGTTTTCAGAAAACAGGTTACATAGAGATTGACATACTTTTGGTATTTTATACATGTAAGTCCATGTAGGCCTATCAGTCATTGCAAATGATGCAACATGCAGGTCATCGTGGAGCTATGTGGGAGTGTTTCAGTCAGTTGTATGAGATAAAGTGCACTCGAGGGGCTAGATCTGCGCATACCCTAGGTATCCGTTATGATGAGCAATATGGGTGTGATACTCGCCATGATAGCAAAAGGTTGCAGGTTCGAATCCCGCCAGACACCCTTTTTTCAGACGTTTTTGTTAAAGGGCTATACTTGATACGACTATAACATCTTCATATTCGAGCACTGTTAGTATTATTTATCTATTTGTTTACAATGTGTTTACTGTGCTACGCAGCAAACCTAATTGGGTTTCAAGATTAAAAATTTCTTTATTTGTGGCCTTTCGGAAAATTTGGTATAGGCTATCACATCGCAATAAAGAGTGTAAGATTAATACAAAACAAAGAACAAAAAATTAATTATAATTAGCTTAGAATACAGGACCCATATGGCACCGAAATACCCTGAATGGAAGACGTTGTGAAAAATGTGAAATGCTGAAATACAAAAACCATTGACGTTGTACGTACGGTAGTTAGCGGCGCCCTTGCCACGGATACACTAGAGTTCCTATCTCTATATAGGAACTCTAGGATACAAAAAAGTCATAATATATATAAAGAGCCATTTTGTGTCCAACGCGATACGCGTCGGTCTGTATCCAACGCGATGTGCGTTCCTCCTGTGTATAATATTGTATAATACAATTAGCGGCCTCCTGTAGTATTTAATTTAACCTTTTTAGGAGTTGAACTTCATGTAACTATATTTATAATTTTTTTAATGATTTCACTACTTTATATCCTATTTCATATTATACTGTATATACTGTTATAATTTACTACGGTACTGTATTTTTAAGCAGTTCTTTATTCCTTGTCGATAGTCGGATAGCCCCTCTATGGCAAGCATTCTTCAATTAGGCAATCGAATATTCGAATTCTAAAGATAAATACTAAATCACGCTTTTGATATTAAATAGTTATCAATTAAGTAATAACATCATAAACACAATTAAACATGTGAAAATACTGTGTAAATTACCTAACTCGTATACTTTGCATGTGTTCATTGGGAAGATTTGGACACAAAAATGGACGGTGTATACCACGTGACTTTCGCAAACCGAGGAAAGGAATGTCGCATCTCTTTATATATATATATATGGCTCTGGGATACACGACTCGGTCTGATTCAAAGATTACTTATTTAGTAAAAGTAGTAATAGGCCAATACATAATTTTATTACATGACTATTATATTACATATCTAGTTAGGCCTATTACTTCGTACAGTGCTTAAGTACAGAAATTGTCACTGTGATTGTACGATGTTTGTCGGCGTGGCAAGGAAAAGAATGAGTAATCCTAACCACTTTCAAGGCTAGTGTTGCAAATTTACAATTCTCTATTCTTTTTCTACTCACTGTGTTTTTGTTATCACAAGTCAATGTAGTGCCTTTCATTATAACGGGAGGGGGTTAATTACCACGCTAGAGGGGATATTCCTTATTTAATGAGAGGTAAATAAACAAAATACATGATATAGGGATGTTATGCTGAGTTTAGAAACATATTTAGAAAAATGAAGCGCTGTAATAGTGGTATTTATAGCATGCTCTTAAGTATCGTTCGCAAAAAATGTTAGTATTAGCACAAAATTACTAATGTACATTGCGAAAATGTGCAACGTTAATTACTTAAGTAGAAATAATATGAGTGAACTGACGTATAAACAAGTTGTTTATTAACCTAAATGATCATTGATTGCCTAAAAACATACTAAAAGTAAAAAGTAATAATTGTTGATAGAAGGCCATGAACTTTTAGAAAAGATAGTGACAATTATGAACTGCTATTACATTAATCGACCAAAGGGGATTCATGAAGGTCTGCACGTAACAAAAACAACCACAGAATCATTAGGTCTACGCACACAAGGGCAAAACAAAACAAATAACGAAATACACATAAAAAGGCCTAGTCAGTATACTTTTTGCAATGAATGTAGTGTTACATCTAAATACATCGCTTGTAGAAGATTTTTTGGACGAGCACGAACTTGTATACTTATTTTGTGCTCTCCATTCAATCTCATCGGCCAACATCGGTGTAACAGAGTTTGCACGGTTTTAGTTTTCAGAACAATTTTATTGAATTCATTGATAATATGCTCTCACGCATGAGTCCAAGAATCGAAAAAGAGCTCAAGGTGTCTATTAATCATTGATAGGCATGCTCAGTGTTTAGATTTACAGCATGCATGATGGTCTCGAAATAATTGATGACGTCACGTGTGATGAATACAATTTAATTAAATTTAGAGGGCTGAATGCTTTAAGAATTGTAGTTTTTGTCCGTTCGGCTCTTACATTACAGCGTTTACGTTTTATTTTTCTCTGTCGTAAAACCATGCAACGTTGCGCTTATCAGCATAAATGACGAACATAAACGTAACTTTTCAAACGTACGTGTTGGGAAATATCGTAGACATACAAACTTCAATAGGTCTATCGAGTTATTTATAACGTATGCAACTCGGTTACAAGAAACTTCGTTTCCAAATCTTTGATACTAAAAAATAAACATAATTGTTTATTATTGTATTCAGAAGGCTCACGTGTTGCATTTAGTACAATTATATATACACATAAAAACCAGTC